ACCCAGCGACATGTGGGCTTTGGGAGTGGTGCTCTTCACCATGCTCTATGGCCAGTTCCCCTTCTACGACAGCATACCTCAGGAGCTCTTCCGCAAAATCAAGGCTGCCGAGTACAACATCCCTGAGTGAGTACAGCCTGGCCCGGGGAGCCCTTCCCCTGCTCCCCGTGCAGGAGGTGCTCTGGGCCTGACTGGGACAGCCAGAGCTGGTGGGGGCTTCGCTCAAAGCCCCTGAGGGTCACAGCAGTGATGAGAACAGACTGCATGCAGTAGACACCAAGGAGCCTGGGACATCTCATGCAATGGTGAGGAAGGCTCTGTGTGGTGCAGGGAGAGGGAATCAACCTCCTGGTTAATCCTGGGATCCGTTGGTCAGAGTGCTGGAGGCTCTTTTAGCTGTGCTCTCAGCGCGTCCATGCTCCTGCTGCCTCTGCCCCTGTGGGGCACTCAGGCTCCTCATGGGTTCTGTCTTGCAGGGACGGACGGGTCTCAGAAAACACTGTGTGCTTGATCCGAAAGCTGCTGGTCTTGGATCCGCAGCAGCGTCTGACAGCTTCTGAAGTGCTGGATTCCCTCAGCTCCATCATAGCATCGTGGTATGTGCTAGAGCAGGGAGGCAGGAACATGGTGTCTCTGGCCACAGGCTGTGTTATTGCAGCTGTGGCCAGCAGACTGCTGCCAAGCAGGACACCAGAGGAGAGGCTGTGAGAACTGCAAAGGAAGCCTTTAGATCTTGTGTCTCAACCACTGGTGTCCGGAGTGGCCTGTACAAATGCTTGCCACTGTGACCAAGGCTGGAGTCTGTAAAGCAGTAGCACTACAGAGAAGTGCTGGGATACAGGAGGGCTTTTGGTGCTGGGCCCCCCTTGTGCTCCCCAGATCTGATGTTTTAAAGTGTAATGGTCAGGGATAATTTCCATGTAGAAACAGATGCAGCCAAATGCACACACTTCCTGCAAGTAATTAGTACTGTCTTCTCTGCTAAGTAAAAGCAAGCATGAGGTATGCAGAGTGGAAGAGCAGGAGATGCCATTACAGGTGGGAACACTACACGTGCAGCAGGGGATGCTTTTGAGGGTAAATCTGACTGCAGAACTGGCATGGACCAACCGGGATGGGATTCCAGTAGCACGCTCCAGCATAAATCGATCCTGGTGGTGTTTGCTTGGTGCAGTACTCCCTTGTCAGCCCTGTGACCTCCTGTCTGTGCTGCACAGCATGCCCAGGCAAAGTTCTTGCGCTGCCTGTTGAGTCAGCAAGTGAAGTCTGTGATTTTTGGAGCTGTGGCTGGTTTCTCTCCTACCTATGCAAGACTTAGAGTTCCACATCCTGTTTAAAACAAAGCAGTAAAGGGGAGTGGGGGGCAGTTCTAGGGTTTGGAATATGATTTTCTTCCAGGGAAACTGAGTTTTGGATAGCACCCTTTAGTAGCAGTAGCTGGTGTGGCAGCCAGGCAGGGCTGTGCCACACTGGTGTCCGGCTCTGGGGCAGCCAGGAGGGATTGCCCTGGCTGGGGTGTTGGGTTCCATACTCCAAATCCCTGACACTGTGCTCTCCTCCCAGGCAGTCAATGTCCTCGCTGAGCGGCCCTTTGCAAGTGGTGCCAGACATCGACGACCAAGTGGCTAACCCAGAGAACCCTCAAGAGGTGGGTTTTCCTCTTTCCCTTTCCGTGGCAGTGCTTTTCCGTGCCACTGTGCCAAGTCTCTCTGTAATGGAAAGAGATGGCAGCACCGTGTGGCCCGTGAGCTGTGGTGAGGGGGTGAGGACCCAGCTGTGACTGCTGCTCTGTGAGGCAGCTGAGTCCAGCACCACCTTGTGCAGTGGAAGGAAAGGCTCATGGTGCTGGGGCCAGGAGTCACATCCGTGCTGCCTGGCAGCGAGCTCACTGGCACCAGAGCTGGTTGAGGGGCAGTTTGCTCCTCTCCAAGCAGCACTCACTTCCTCACACACAGCTGAGAGCTCAAATGTGCAGGGAGAGCTGGGAAGAGGCAGCAGGGTTGGCTCAGGCTCCCTGCTGAGCTCCGAGATGGGAGCAAACATCCTGCTTTCCTGCCAGCATGTTTTCTGCTGGAATGACAGCTCTGGTGACCTCAGTGCCTGGGGACAGCCTTGGAGGAGCTTTTGCCTCTGATGCTGCAGGGTTGCCATCAGCAGTCCCTCCGCTGGGCTCGGGGGGATGCGAGCACTGGGGTCAGGCAGCTGCAGCCTCTGAACGGCTGGCAGGGCTGGGATGAGCTGTTCCCAGACCTCTGCTCCTGGTGGCACCAGTGCCTGTGTGTGAGGCACCAGGGCCTGTTCTTGCATTAAGACTCCAGTTGTCCCGTGGTGGCTCAGGGCCATCGGAGGGGAGTCGTGGGCGCGTTGCCGTGGCTCTGACCGTGGCTCTCTGGCAGGTGAAGGTGACGGAGGAGTGCTCGCAGTACGAGTTCGAGAACTACATGAGGCAGCAGCTGCTCTTGGCTGAGGAGAAGAACACGTTGCATGAGGCCAAGAGCTTCCTCCAGAAGCGGCAGTTTGGGAACATCCCCCCAGTGCGACGCCTGGGCCACGATGCTCAGCCCATGAACCCTTTGGACGCAGCGATCCTGGCCCAGAGGTACCTTCGGAAGTAGCTCCCCGCCCGTCCGAGAGCACAAGCACCATCCTGCAGTCTGCCTTTCACGTCGCCTACTACAGCTCAACAGCAATACCCGTGTCCCGTGATGGAGAGTAATGTAGCAATTCTTCTGAGCTCTGTTCAGGGACACGCACTCACACTCACTCTGGAGGGAGAAGACTTTTGGGCAAAGCTAGTTTCGGAAGCAGCAACCTCTCGGCATCTTCTGGAATCTTGTTTTTTAAATCGAAGCCTAGATGACTAATCTGCTTTTAATCATGACTGTAATCTACCTCTCTTGTCTTTTTAACCATGCTGTTCTCTGGATCGAGCAAAGCCTGGGGGAAAGGAGAAGACGCCCGAGGGTGAAGCTGGTTTGCCGGCCCAAGTCGCGGCTGCGCGGCGCGGAGAGTCGGCTCGTTGGCGTTCGCTCCGTATGGTTTGAATAAGCTTAGATTTACCGGGGTTTCTGGAGAGGCAGAACTCCTTGAGACCTCCCCCTCCCCTTCGTCTGCATCAAATCTCTCTCCTGTCCCCAACGTGCCACCTGCCTTGGCCGCGTTGTCTCACCCTGCACCACGCCAAGGCCTTCGTGTTCCCTGGTGTCACCAGGGCTGCCTCGGGCACGAGGCAAAGATCGGCTCTTGTCCTCAGTTCAGAGGTTCCCCAGGACTTGGCCGGCCGTGGCCCCTTTCCCCCCTTTCACTGATTCTTTAGTTTCGTAAGGGTTATCTGATTTAATCTTATTTTTCAGTAGCTTACCTAAGGTGCAGTTAAAATTGCATTAATTCTGATTTAGCGTTTTCACACTTCAGTTGTGGTACAGATATAATATATGAGTTATAATGTGAAAAAGCTTCCCAAAATAATCTGCCTAGAATTAGGAAGGGGCTGGCTGAGGTCTCTGCTGTATTCGTTCCCCAGCTCATCTTGCCATCCCAGCCTCACCACGCACCCCGCGCGGCGCTGAGGCGGGAGAAGGATGTCCCGGTTTGTCACCTAATGCCACTGGAAGAGCGTGGGCCCGTGCTGAGAACAGGAGCGATTGTTTCTGAGCCTCATTTTGTGAACTGGATGCCTGTCTTGCCAGACAACCTGTTCTCACACCCAGGCCCTCGCAGCGCCCCAGCCAGGGCTCCTCGCCCAAGGCAGCGCTTCCCTGGCTGCCTCCAGCCCCTGCTCCTGCCTGTCCCCAGCTCCAGCATCACCCCCAGCACCAGGACCTGTGTGAGCACAGGGTGGGGAAAAGCCTCTTTGGCCTCGGCTGTGGGGCTGACCCTGCTCTGTGGGGCCAGCTCCAGCAGGGAGCGAGTAGCAGATCTCTTTGTAGCGTGTCGTTGCCTTCTCTTGCCCCAGGCTGGCGACGGGGACTGTGTCTAAGCCTGGGCCAGCTCCAGGTGTCCTTGTGGGGATAGAGGGATTGACCTGGACCTCCTTGGCAGCATCGGGCATTACATCCTGCCTGCGCCCTGGCCGGAGCCACGCGGCAGCGGCCGGGCAGGGACTCGTGAACACTAACACAGACTCCACCAGTGGCCCCAGCCCCGGCCAGCTGAGCCAGTAGCCTCAAGTCTTAGCCTTATTTATTGTACCGGTGGGTCTGGCCCAGCACACCCCAATGGGTGCCCATCACCACCCCCTTCCCGTGCCACCAGCAGCAGCGCAGGGCCTCCCCCCTTGGGGTCCTGCTCTCTCCATCTGGTTTCTCCCGTCCCGCTCCCACCTCTAGTGTTCTTGTTGGGTTTTTCCCCAAAGTTAAAGCAATATTGGGGCTCTGCAAGGCTGAACCATGTCCGGTGTTCCTGCGCACTGGTCAGTGGTAACTCGCATGTACTGAACTGGAAGAGAGGAGGCAGGAGGGGCTGGGGGGGGGGGGGTGGAGGGGCCACGGGGGGGCCGGAGCCTGTTGTAAGAGTTAAAAAAAGAGAGAAAAAAAAAAAATAGAGGAAAAGCTCTTTGTATAAAGACGTTATTTTTGTACAACATCGAACCGACCCCTGCATGGCGGCAATAAAACTTCAGACCTGAGCCCTGAGCGCCCGTGGGGACCGGGGAAGGGGGGGACACGGGATGGGACTGGGGTGTAGGGGCTGCAGCAGCACAGGTCAGAGTGGGCCCATGGGGACCCCTGCACCCTTTGCTTGGCTCTGGGGCTGAACCCAGCGTAGCCGCGGGGACGCAGCCCCACCAGCTCGGCTGTGTCCAAGGCTGACACGAGTGGGGCAGAGCCCTTGACCTCTGCTCCCATGGCCCCGGGATGCTCCAGCCCGGCATCAGCGAGGCTGTAAAAGACCTTTAGGACCAAGTCCAGCCCGGCCGCAGCGGAGCCCCGGCAGGACCCTGCCTGTCCCCCACCTCCCTGGGCTCCGGCCCCTGCCGGGATGGGTTTGGCGCTTCCCTCCCGCAGCCCTGCTCCGAGCGCGGTGTCCCGGGGGAGCGGGACGCTCCCGGATCCCGGGCCGGGGCTGCCATTGGCTCCGGCGGGGAGCGCTGACCGCCAGCAGCCTCCGAACCATTTCCTGTTGCTGCGGCGTTAACGCGGAGCAGACCCCGCTCCCTCTTCCCTCTCCGCAGCGCGCTCCGGTGAGTACCGGCCCCGGCGAGGGGCGGATGGGGAGCCCCGAGGGATCCCAGCGCCAGCTCCGGGTGTCCCGGCTCTGCCCTGACCCTGGCTCGAGGTGCTCCGGGGTTGGGGTGGGGAAAGGGGGGCCCGGGGACACGGGGCTGAGGGCGCCGGGCTCGGGATGCAGGGATGGGGGCTTGGGGAGCGCAGGGCTCAGGGACGCGGGGCTCGGGGCTCGGGGACTCAGGGCTGGGCGCTCTGGGGCTGTGCCCACGGCCAGATCCCGTTCCAGGGATCCGGAGCAGGCTCCAGGGGGGGATCCCGGCGCTCTCCTGCCCAGCTCCGGCCGCCTGTCCCCGGCTTCCCTCACACCCTCTGCCAGCCACAGCCGAGGACACCACCCCCGGCCTGTGGCCACGGGCACCCCATGGCCCTAGGGCCAGCTCTGCCCCCTGGAGGGGCTCTGGGGGAGCCCCACGGCGGGGCTCTGCCCCTCCAGCCCCACGGCGGGCCCCATTGCAGGGGCAGGGGCTGGAGGCGAAACTGCCCCATGGGGAGGGCACCCGGACCCCCTGGGGATGCCGCTGCTGGGCCCTGGGCTGCCCGGCCCGGCTGGGAGCGGCCCCGCGGCTCGGGGCCGGCGCTGCTGATGTGTCAGCTCCTGCCCTGCTTTCCTCGTTCCTCCCTCGAGGAGCGTTTCTGGGAGCTGAGCTCGGCCCGGCCCGGGCTGGGGCTGCTTCAGCTCCTGCCCTGCCCCGCGCCTTGGGGACCGCAGCAGCCCCCAGTGCACTGCGATGGGTGCCCCGTGGCACAGGGGGTGCGCTGGGACCCCGAGAGCTCAGCCCTGTGTCCTGTGCCCGTGGGCAGGGGATGCAAAGCCTGGCTCCGGCCCCCAGATCCGCGTGTCCTGGAGGAGCCGCATCCTCCCTGGCGCAGCAGAACGGGATGGCTCCGGTTTGGCACCTCTGGGGCGCAGCCTTGGATGGAGCAGCCTGGACCCGGCACCCGCCCCTGGGTGCTGCTCAGCGGGGTCCCTTGGGGCATGGTCACACCCTGGCATGGTCCTGAGCGGGACAAGGACCCCGGGGGGATCCCCAGCAGCGCCCGCTCAACCCCTGTGTCCGCAGATGCCGAGCAAGCGCCATCCCCTGAGACGCTGAGAGCCCCGACACAGGATGGAGAGCCGCCGGCGGGACATGGAGCTGCTGAGCAACAGCATGGCCGCGTACGCACACATCCGAGGTGAGCCCGGGCCCAGCACGGACACGTCCTGGAGGCACCGGGGCCATCCTGGACCAGTCCCTCATCCCCTCTGCTCTCCCTACAGCCAACCCGGAGAGCTTCGGGCTCTACTTCGTGCTGGGTGTCTGCTTCGGGCTGCTGCTCACCCTGTGCCTGCTGGTGCTGCGCCTGTCCTGCGGGCCCCCCCCGCGCCGCCCCAAGCACCTCAGCGATGAGGACGAGGATGAAGATGAAGACGACGAGGATGATGATGATGAGGAGGAGGAGGACACCGTTGACCGCGCAGCATCCGAGTCGCTGCTGCCGGTGACCGAGATCCCTCTGGAGCCCCACGGCCCCGGGGACGGGGCTGCGGCCGTCAACGTGTTCACCTCCGCGGAGGAGCTGGAGCAGGCGCAGCGGCTGGAGGAGCGGGAGCGCATCATCCGCGAGATCTGGCGCAACGGGCAGCCCGACCTCCTGGGCACCGGCACCCTGGGCCGCGTCCACTACTACTGACCCCGGGAGTCACCCAGGAGGGCGAGGGGGGGGCTGCTCCCTGCCCCGGCGTTGGAGGCTCCCCCCCCCCCCCGTCCATGCACTTTGAGCCATTGGTACGACTGCGGGCACCGGGACCCGCGGGGACAGGGACAGGGACAAGGACAGGGCCACCGCTGGCCATCCCCATGGGTCACATCCGGCTGTTCCCGTGTAAGCTTTGGGGGTCCTGCCCCACAAACATGGTGCTGTTCTACCCCCCCGTGGGGCTCAGTGTGGTGCTGGGGTGGGGGGGGTTCAGCTGCCGCCTTCCTAAGCCGAAGCCTTTCCCGTGACCCAACTAAAATTACCCGGATCCTTTCCGGCACCGCCCTGGGCCTGGCCCTGGCGGATGTTTCCCCCCCAGGGATGTGGGGCTGCTCCCCGCGGGGCTGGGTCACATCCTGCCCCCTGCTCCCGGCGCTATCCCAGCCCCCGGGGGCCCCGCTGCCCCCTCCCCAGCCCCCTGTAAAAATAGCTCCTTCCCAGGCCGGTCCCGCCAGCAGGATCCAGATGTTTTCCAGATGTTCTCCCAGCCCCACGCCGGTGGCTGGAGGCCAGGACGTGATGGGGCTGGGATGGGAAATGGTGCGGGAGACGGAGAAGGAGGAGGAGGAGGAGGCACTGCCCAGCCCCGTGCTGTGACAGGACCCCTGTTCCATGGTGGGATCTTTGTGCTGTGGTGGGTATCCTGTGCCTGGCAGCCCCAGCTTTGCCCACCCCATAGGGACCCGGCAGCCCCATAGCAGAGCCCCTCTGTGGGTACCCAGCGCTCTGTACCCAAAGCGGTTTATTCCAGACTCTGTCCCAGTGCCGTTGCGCGGCCTCGGGCCCACGCCGTGCCGCAGGAAGCGGTGCGGGGCTGCGGGGTGAGCATCCTGCCTCCAGCCAGCGCAGAGCCGGGCGCAGCACCGGCACCACGAGGCGCCCGCAGCCCCCGCCGTGCTCAGCAGGGCAGCGCCTTCCTCACCCGCTCGATCTCTGCCTGCGGGGAGATGCTGCGAGCAACGCGGGGCAACGGGGACCCCGCACGGGGCAGCCCCGCGCCGGGACTCACCTGCAGCGCCTGGCGCTTGGCCCGCTCCTGCCCCAGCTCCAGCCTCAGGTCCTCCAGGTCCCGCCTGCAGCGCAGCAGGGGCGGCTCAGCGGGGCCAGCGCCGGTGATGCTGAACCATGGGGACCCCCCCCCAGCCCCACTCACAGGTGCTGCGTCCGCATCAGGTCCACCAGGATGTGCAGGGACCGCACCTCCGCCTTCAGGTCCCCCAGGGCCAGCGCCTCCTTCGGGCACGGAGCCGCCGGCACCTCCGGGCTCCACGGTGGGGCCGGCGCCTCCCCCGCGCCGCTGCGCGGTGGCCCCGGGGGGGGCTCCCCAACCCAGGGACCCCCCGGCGTGAGGCTGGGGGGCCGCTGGCCCGGCACCCGCGGGCGGGTGGCTGTGGGGTGGCTGAGCCGGGCCGTGGTGACCGGCACCGCGTGGAAGCCATCGGCATCTGCTAAAGGGATGGCAAAGAGATGGCAAAGAGGTGGCAAAGAGATGGCAAAGAGATGGCAAAGAGGTGGCAAAGAGACGGCAAAGAGACGGCAAAGAGGTGGCAAAGAGATGGCAAAGAGATGGCAAAGAGGTGGCAAAGAGACGGCAAAGAGACGGCAAAGAGGTGGCAAAGAGATGGCAAAGAGGTGGCAAAGAGATGGCAAAGAGACGGCAAAGAGATGGCAAAGGGATAGCAAAGAGGTGACAAAGAGATGGCAAAGAGATGGCAAAGAGGTGGCAAAGAGACGGCAAAGAGGTGGCAAAGAGACGGCAAAGAGGTGGCAAAGAGACGGCAAAGAGGTGGCAAAGAGGTGGCAAAGAGATGGCAAAGAGATGGCAAAGAGATGGCAAAGGGATAGCAAAGAGGTGACAAAGAGATGGCAAAGAGAAGGCAAAGAGATGGCAAAGAGATGGCAAAGAGCTCAGCGCGGTGTTGGCACAAGGCATGGCCCCACATGGCTGCAGCTCCTACCTGGATCACCGGCTCTGCCCCTCTCTGTGTCTGAGGCACTGGGCTGGGGACCACCAGGCCTGGGGACAGCAGAGGCAGTGAAGTGGCACAGAATGGACCAAGCAGGGATGTTCTGCACCAGCACCGCCCCGGTGCTGGGAGCATCGTGTCAGCTCCGGATGCCCCGGAGCACCCGTGTGAGTCTTACTTGCTTGCTACTGTGGGGGCTGGTTTGGCCTTGCCAGGGACGGGGGGAGCAGGAGCCATCCTCTTGCTGTGGGGCTGCTTGGCCGGCTCCATCCTCAGTGGCGCTGGGAGCTCTGGGGTAGAGAAGCAGGAGCAGGGCTGGGGCCGGGGCTGGCACCGCGCAGCACAGGCGGTGAGAGCGGGGCAGGAAGCGCTTCCTGCGGGGAGCAGCAGCCATGGCCGTGGCCCGGCACCGGGACCTGCCCAGAGCAAGGGGGCCCCTGTCCCAGGCATGGCCCATCCCCATCCCCATCCCCATCCCCATCCCCAACCCCATTCCCATCCCCATCCCCATTCCCATCCCCATTCCCATCCCCATTCCCATTCCCATCCCCATTCCCATCCCCATCCCCATTCCCATCCCCATCCCCATCCCCATTCCCATCCCCATCCCCATTCCCATCCCCATCCCCAACCCCATCCCCATCCCCATCCCCATCCCTCCTTCCTGCCCTGGCCCAGGACTCACCCGGGGGCTCCCCCTCCTCGTCCTTTGCTCTCTTCCAGGCTGCAGGGAGAAAAGGGGCTCAGGTGCTGCAGGAAGGACCCTTCTTACAGCCCCCCTCGGGGTCACCCCCCAGACGTGGGCTCCATCCCTGACTCGCCACTTCCCTGCTGGGGAAGGAGGCCCCCACAGGCAGGACCAGTGGGACACAAGGTCCCATGGTGTTCCTGGGCTCATGGCTCCCTCCATGGCTGTAGCAATGCTCAGTGGTACCCAACAGCGCCATGGTGGCTCTGCCCCATCATCACCCCGGTACCGTGTGCCACCCCTCCTGCCAGCCCCACACCCAGCCCCACGCCAGCCCCACTGTGGTTGTGTTTCCTCTGCGTGTGGTGGAGCAGGCGGCTGCAAACCTCCCCCAGAGCACCAGCAGCACGGCAGAGGCAGGATGCTGTCCCTATGGCGCAGCAGCATTCTTCCCTCTGCCACCAAGCCCTGAGGTCCCAACAGGATGGAACCCTCTGGCAGAGAATATGGAGCATCCAACCGCAGGTATGTGCCCATGAATCATCCTGTCCCTGTGATGGGCCACCCTGTCCCCAACGCCACCAGCAGCCCTGATGCTGTCTGGTCCCTGCCGCCACCAGCAGGGCCCTCACCGTGGCGGCCTCGCTGGCACCAAAACTGCCAGAGGGTTTTTTGTCCTCCCAGAGATGGCTGCAGCCATGAGGGATGAGGACAGGGCTGAGGGCACCCGGCCCCAGGGGTGCAGGGAGCTGCTCTGCAGGCCCCAGGGCACCATCGCTCTCGAAGTGTGAGGTTGGTGGTACCCAGAGCTGCCCGTGTGGCCCCACACTGCTGCTGCCCCTGGGATGGCAACTGAGTGCGGGACCCCCATAACCACACGGCTCCATCCTACCTGCTGGTGCGGGGCTGCCCCCGAGGCTGAGCACCGTGGTGCTGTGCCCGGCTCCCCCGGCTGCTGCGGCCCCGCACCACGCACGTGACGCCGGAGGAAACCACGCTGGGAAGGAAGTCGAAGCCGAGAGCATCTCGGTGCCGGTCCATGCCGCATCCTCGCTCCCCACGGGGCTCCTCCTGCCCCCTGGCACGGCCGGCTCCTGGGCTGCCCCAATCCACCTCACACCGGGCCGTGGGGCTGCCCGCTGGGGCACTGAGGCCGCCAGGGCTGGGCGCCCACCTTGGTCGGACTGAATGGACTCTGAGTCCCAGGATGGCATCAATGGCTTCAGCTGATGGAGAGGGGCTGGGTGAGGATGGAGCCGTGGCACAGCCCCACAGGCACCGGACTTTGGCACTGTGGAGCCCACCGAGGCACAGGCAGGGTCCATCCACACGAGCCCTGCGTGGCCCTGGTGCAGCCCTCACTTACCGTGGGCAGCGGCAGGAGCTCCGCGAGGCTGCAGGGGAAGAGCCCTCTCCGGTGCCAGCACTGTCCGTGCCCGCAGCCCTTGAGCCCTGCGTGCTGCAGGGCAGGTGCCAGCACCAGGGACCCACCTCGGGGTGCCCCTGTCCCCGCGTGCCCTCCCCTCGCTCAGGACCCAGATCACATCCCCCTGGACGCAGCCCCGCCGGCAGCTCCGGGCTGAGCTCAAACAGGGCCCGGCAGAGCCGCGGCTCCGGGTCTGTGCGGGAAGGGCAGGACCGAGCTCGTGGGGGTCTCCCCAGGTGCCCCCCCAAGCCCATGGCAATGGAGCCTCACCCGGGGCTGGCTGCAGGACGGGTGCTGAGCGCTGTGCCGGCAGAGGCACCCAGAGGCGGCTCACGGTGCCCAGCGCTCAGCATCGCTCGCAGGGCGCATCCCTACCTGAGCTGCGTGCGGCAGCGCCGGGAGCTGGCACCGCGGGCAGGGCTGCGGGAGCGGAGCAGCGGGGCAGGACTGGGAGCAGCCTCGCATCCCATCCGGCACCTCGGCGGGCAGGGGGAAGTGAAACCCAAACCACAGAGGGGCCGAAACCACAACCCCCGAGCATGCTGAGTCCCTGCGCTGAGCGCAGAAGGGTCGGTACCAGTGCTCCCGGTCCATGCCTGGTCCAGGCGCTCAGCACCAGTGCTCCCTTGGCTCGGGTGTATTTGACACCGAGGGGACCAGCACCAGCTGCTCATCCCTGGTTCTGCTGTTCCGGCTGGGAAGTGTGGGGTCAGCACCAGGTACCCAGCACCAGGCTCCTTCTCCAGCTGGCTCAAGGGCTCGAATATGCTGAAATTGAGCTTAAAGGTTTCAGAATGGACTACACAGGTCTTGCTGCTTTCATACTTATTCTCTAAATCAGAACTGGTTCGATAAGGCAGGTTTTACACAGAATCAACCTCTTTTAGTAACGTGGACTTCATAGTCTAGAGCTTGGGTTTGAGTGGTAGCATCCACAAGGCTCTCAGTGACACGATTTAGTGGTGGACTTGGCAGCCCTGGGGTAATGGGTGGACTCGATGATCTTAAAGGTCTTTTCCAACCTACTTGATTCTATGAATTCACATGAAGGGGAACACGAACCACGAAGGGAAGCACGAGCCGTTACCCCACATCGCTGTCTCAACTGCTCTTGGCCAACAGCATTGACCAACGCCGGGCAGGAACTCTTCCCTACCACGCAGGCAGCCCCCTGCGTTCACCACGGGGGCTGCACCCTCAGCAAGACTCATAGCTCCCCGGCAGCGAGGACCCATCTCCCTTTGAGGGAGCAGCAATGGAAAAGCATCTCCTGCCCGCTGCCAGCAAAGGCAACGGCTGACTTACCCTAACCAGGGTTTAGTGCTGGTGTAAAACCACGCACCTACAGCTGTGCTCTTCAGTTTCAGAGCATGGATGAAGCCGTTGCTGCTGTTCAGGGGTGATACAGTCCCTGCAGGCAGCAGAGCTCAGGCAGGGGAGCTGTGGCTGTCACCTCCTCTTCCCCCCACGCAATCACTGCAACCACAGGCTAAAAGCTCTGTTGTGTTCAAAAGCCAGGAGTAAGCGGGTTTTAGCCACTAATTTAAGAGCACAAGAGGCCAAGGGTAGAATACATACCCCATGTCCCCAGGGCCAGGGTTGAGTCACCATCCCTGGAGGTATTTACACATGTAGATGTGGCACTTACGGACATGGTTGAGTGGTGGACAGGACATAGTTAACGGTTGGATTCAACGATCTGAAAGGTCTCTTTGAACCTAAGTAATGCTTGTGCTGCAAGGGCAGTTCTACCTGCATTCCCTGCACGGATACCCACAGAAACCAGGAGTCACCACTTGCACATGCTGCTTTCTGACAGCAGGGGAACCGCACAGGCCCCAGGCTGAGCTTCCTCTTCCAGGCTGCTCCCTGGCCCATTTTCTCTTGCAGGATGGTGCTAGCTCAAAGCTTCCCCTCCCAGCAGCTCTTTGGTAGCCACAGCAGGGCTCTCCAAGGGCATTTGGTTCTTGTGGCCTCACCCCTGAACACAGAAGCCGCCAGGAGCCCCGGACTCAGAACACAGAACAAAGAGTTACACCTACTACTTCTTTTATTGTATTTTATTTGCATAAACAAAGTGGAGGGCTTTGCTAAACAGGAACTGTTCAAGTCAAAACAAACCAAACTCTAATCGGTGTGTGCGGGGAAAACAGCACAGCAATCCATGGGGAGGGAAGGCAGGGAGGGAGAGCGGTGCCTACAGCACGTGCACACGCAGGGTGGGTGCATGGACATGCCTCTCCTGCTACGAGGGACTCACTCGGCCCGAGAGCTGCTCGCAAACTCCTTCAGAGCACAGGGAAGTAGAAGATAGAAAGAACACCACGGCCACAGCCGTCCCCAGCCAGCACAGGAGGGACTGCTGGGCTGGCCTTCTTTTTTTTTTTCCGTTTTATATAAAAAGATTAATAAAAAATATTGAAAAAATTCTCATCTCCTTTTGTATTTTTAACCCAGTAGAATTCCAAAGTTTCTTAGAAAACTATGGTACCTTGGAAAGAGCACTCGAGTTCACAACCAGCTGCAAAGAGGATACACAAAATGCCTACAAGCGGTTTGGGGCTCCAGCACACACCAGGCCTAACAGTGTACACAAACAGTGGTGAGAAGTAGGGTGTCATGTTTTTTCTCCTTAAACCATGCTAATTTTGTTAACTTTCAACATAAAAGGAAAACAATTTCTTTTCTTTTTTTTTAAAGGCCCTAAAACTCAACAGTTACATAAAAAAAAAGTTTAAAAAAGAACAGAAGTCATCGGAGTTTGGTCCCAAGGAGTTAACATTTAGATGTTTATTCACATGCTTGCTTTCTTAGTGAGAAGAACCAAAAAGAGTTTCCAAAATTATCATTTAATTGATTTTACTACAGAAAGGCCTAAAGGAAAGTACGGATTTAAAAAACTGAATACACAACAGGGGGAAAAAACAACCACCTTGCAGGGGTGAATTAACCCCAACCAGAGCCATTGCAATTTATAAAAGAGAACCAAAAATGTCAAGACTACCGGGGCAAGATGGGCACAAACCAAACTCCACGTTGCCTTCAAAGCCTGTTACCAAAAAAATAACCGACCAGTCACTAAGGTCACTGAGGACAGAAAACTCTCTGATCTCACCCAGCACTTGACCTTACTCAGTCCAGCAGGGAAGTCTTTGGGAAGATAAACTCCATGAGCGGATCCGAGCATAAATGATTGGTCAGTTCTAGTCCACGCTTAAGGGAGGCTGAACTCTGGAAATGCAGTTAACGTCGGGATTGTTTCCGAGCTCCTCTCCAGGGCTCTGCTCAGCACGTCAGGAGCACCCTGACAATCCAGCACCGAACCCCATCCCTGCTGCCAGGGCTCTCGGAAACACGCGGGCCCTGCGGCTACTCGGTCGTCGTCTGCAAGTTGTCCTTTTCCTCTCTGTTTTCTGCTCCGCTTTCATCATCTTCGATTTCTCCTTCTTCTCCACTGAATTTGTCATGAGCCCACTTGGGGCTGGTGCTCGACTTCCGGAACATGAAGCGGCCCCTTCCCCGGGGGAAGGCACCTCGACCCCGGCCGCGGTTCACCCACTTGTCCGCGCCTTCGCCCTCCCGGTCGTCGTGCTGCACAGGAGGAAGGCAACGGGACCAGTTGAAACAAAACACTGACTACTCGCTGTGTGAGAGTGGCTGGTGACACAGAACCCTGCAGCGTGGACCAGGCTCTCATCTAAAGAGAAACCCTGGCTGGTCCGGGGAAGAAACACAGCAGATGAAGGAGGAATGCACGATCACTACCCACGCTCTGCGCATGGCAGCCTGTCCTTGCTGCCAGGAAGCTCTCTGGAGTATTTAGTTTAGTATATAGTTCTGCCTTCAATAAGACTGGAGAAAAATGCAAGGTTTTCTTGTCTGAAGTACAAGACTGAAACACTGCGTTATTTAATGAGAAGATTGGGGATCTCAAGAACCCCAAATCAGGAAGAGACAAAAGGAGTTGGCGTCTGTTTGAAACTACCCCTCTTTCAAAGCACACAGTCACACAGAACTCCCCCACACTAATGCCTCATAGCAAGGCAGACTGCTGTCACCAGAAAGAAAAAGGAACAGTACTAACCCCTCCGGGAAGCTGGACACTGTATGGGGACAGAACCACCAAGAAAGAGAGGCCATCTGCAACACAGACTAACATTTAAGCTGCATTGCCCACAACCCTGTGAAACACATGCTCTCTAACTGGCCTTTAGCATTTCACTCTACAATGAGCAGAAAGAAGTTCCCTTTAGTCATAAGCCAGAAGCTTCTTATGAAGTGTCTCATGAAGCCTTAACCTGGTGGACTAGACAGCTGGCACGTCCACCTCTCAAACATTTAAGACCAGATATACCTCGAGCATACATATGTGTTTCAGTACTTAAGGCAGCTACATACCAAGTAGTACTTCTTGCTCTTCGGTGTGTACTCTGGATCCCACTCCTCATCTCTGCTTCTCTTCTGGAAGTCATTATTGCCACCACTGTTGCTGTTATTGTTGCCTGAAAAGTTGCCTCTGCCCCATCCTCTCCCTCTTGCTCTGAATTGCTGCAACAGCAAAACGCAAAAGAAAAGTAAAATGGTTGCAGTGGCAATGCCCTCCCACCCCCAGAGAGCTTCCAGGGCTACCAGAAGGTACCTCGTCACTTCTCTACCATCCAAGAGCACCTTTAACCCATCATTAAAGTAAGAGGTCAGTATATTTTAGGGTTTTCTACATCATCTGATCACACAGTGCATCACAGTTGCTATAAAGCTGATTAAGATCATGTAGAGGCATTTCCAGAGCGCTCAGCAATTCCTAATCCACAAAAGCTTCCAGGCTTCATTTTGCTCCATACATCTTGAGTTCAACTGCCCAGACTATATTCTCAGCACCCTGGTTTGTGCTCCAGACCCAGAGCAATCATATTTGG